ACAGCGACGGCGCATGGATCGGCGTACATTAGAAAAGACGTTAGGCATGTCGCAGACAAGCGTAAAGCAGCAACAGACAAGCGGGGAACAAGATCTTCTTGATGGGACTCTCGTACACCAGGCTTTTAATATGACCCCAAAAGGAAAAATCCAAGCAGGTTAAATCAGGAGAACGCGGTGGCCATGGAACTGGACCACCCCGTCCTATCCAATGCTGGCCGTCGACAGCGTCCAGGTGAATTCTGACGCTCCCTGTACATCCTTTGAGCAGCTAAATCGTGCAGTCCCATGCGTGAAAATGCACGTCGGCAAGCTCCACATTGGTGAAACGATGCATGCTGTTTGAGATCCGTGTGGGAATCCAGCTAGCAAGCGCTTTTATACGGCGCAGCCATCAGCGTTCCCTACCGGCTCAAGGCGGCATTACCACACACACAATCCTATACGAAATATGCTTATATAAGTTCCCTCTACCTACCTTTACATTTTTGACTCATATTTTAGGACCACCCTGTATATTTACGTGTGTAAATTTGCGTGTATATTTACATATGTAAATTCATTAAGAAAATATGCAAAATTATAATTTTTCATTTTATCGCCCTAAGGCTTTCAGAATGTAAATCTATTCTGTTTCTATAAATGAAATAGTAATGCAAGTTTCTATCAATGAAATAGCAATATCATTCAATGTATAGTATTGAAAAGAAAAACTGAAGTTTTAATTTATATTTTACTAAAGTAAAACGTCTATTGACTACTTTGACTATACTAGTCGAATACCATTGTTTGGCTCAAACGTCACATACACTAACGTTTTTTATTATTTTTTTTTAATAACTCGATATTTAATACTCGACTGTTAGGTAAAGATTAGTCTATTTTTAGCCTGTGCCTTCTATGTTCATTCTTAATGTGGCGCAAAACGTGAATAAGAAAAGACACAATTTTGTATTCAAAAATTTGTGGTTTATTTTTTAATGTTAAAAAAGTTGCCCCAACGTTGTTTCAATTGGGCTCATGAAAATGTGCCAAAATCGTGAATCACTCATTGATTTTGGCAATTCTCAAAACAATCTCGCCATATTGGGATTTTTTTTTTTCAAAAAGAAAATAAAAACATTAATAGCTTTTATCTAAGTTATTTGTCCGTTCCTAATAAGTAATTCTTTAAAGCAAGTAGATAAATAGATTTTAAAGTTAGAAGTTTAAGACACTTAAACTATAAGTCATCCAATGTAATGTAGCTATCACATTTGTTTCACCACATTTGAATCATATAGTGATAAGAATTTGAGTCATATAGTGATGATTCAAGATACAGATAATATAGTGCAACGTCAAATCGATTTTTTTTTTTTTGAGAGAGGGAGTGCCATAATTATCTAGAAACATAGAATAATTTAGCACTCATTAACATATTCACAGCCCAGAAAATAGTGACTACCACAAAAACTGTAAAAATGCTGGTAATGCCCATATTCATTGCATAATTACCTTCAGTCATTGAATGTCCCGCAGTGGACTGATCGTTAAGACACGGTTCCCAGAAGATCACCGAAGTCAAGTGTCTTACGTACATAGA